TCGGGTGCTTAAAAATGTCAGAGAATTGAAGCATCCATCATATAGCTTTTCCAGCGTGCCAGATACTCAACATTCATTACTCTGAAAAAAATGGTTATAAATGAAACAAATTACAAAACATATTTTAGAAAAGTCATGAGAGTTATGGTACCATGTACACCACCTATATTCCGGAGATCAACTCCTGACTTTCCCCCTTCAGTGGATAGTCCTTTTCTGTGATAGGCCAATGAAAGGTGGATGTGGCCACAAAAAACACTCATCGAAGACACTCAGCACTGGTCCTCTTATCCTGGTTTTCCACCTTCATTGAAAAGACCTCCAGGCAGCCCAGAATATCCTGATGACATCACTGGCAGGCCAGTCTTTGCCATGGTGTTAGAGATTTTGTATATAGCCCTACAGGTCAGACAGTGTATAGTCCACCTGTTTATCTGCTGCTTCACTATAAACAGGAAACAGGAACTTTAATATAGAGAAAATACATAGAGTTCTATCATAGATGCAGCTACAACCTTATAAACACTGCCATCTTCTGGTTGAAGAATATATCTCTACTGAACACCGAAGTAGTTGTTGCAAAAATACATGAACACTGTACTCCAAAACATGACACATCTTTATGTCCCAGGGAACTCTAGAAAAGGATTTGGCTATTTACCAGGCTTTACCTGGGACCAGATGGACAGCTGAGTTCACAGCCTCCTAGCCCAAAATGATCCTGCACAGTAGGCATGGCAGAAGAAGAGGTGAGTGCATGCATGGAGTCTAACAGGTCTGAGTGGTCCAAAACCCCCCACCCCATCCACAACAATGATAGTGGATCAGTGTTAATTCTAACTTTGGAGTGGTCAGTGAAATAGAGAAGTGACAGTATGAAATCATGACGGTTTTTTTACAACTTCATGTTAATATGCACTGAGTATCAGAAATACATAATTTTGGTCCACTGGTACCTCCTTCCTAAGCTATGTGTAATCACACTATTGCTGCCAGAGAAGGGTGGGGTTGGGGGGCAGTTTGTTCTCCACTATTATCAGATCATGTATGACAGACCTTCTCCTGGTCACCTATTCTAGTATTCAGTGGTTAACGTTGAAAAAAAAGACATAAAATACATCTAGGGAATAGATCTGACCTGCACAACTTTTTTAACGTTTATCATCCTGGCTTTGGGCTCTCAGCCACCCTACTGACCCTACTGCTGATGATCATCTTTTTGTGGGAGCTCCATCCTATACATAGAACTACCTGACACCTGCTGTGAAGCAAGAGTATGCAAAACCCCCTGAGTGAGGAGAGAACTACTGGTAGCCACTAGCTGCACTGGCTGCCAGCACCTGTTGCTCTGTAATTGATGACTAGCTGTGGGAGATGGTAGGGTGTACAAAGCAGCATGGGAAAACCCACCAAATATTACCAATATCTGAAAATGGCATTTCCAGTCTTGTGTTAGGCGAATGTCTGCATTCATCTGGTTGATTTGCTTGGACTCACCCACATTATTACTGAGAATGTACGTATAGGATAACAGGCTTGCAAGCAATACTGTGCGACCAATGAACCGTGTGACACTTGTTTCCATGAAGACTCATTCTGAGTATTTTGTCCTGTTATAAACATCATTTTCACATTGCACTCTGTGGATTAAACCAATCACAATTCTGCATACAAATTGCAGGAGATAAAACATGTAAGATTTAGAAATTTTTCAAGTAACTTATTACAGAATTACTAAAAGGGGAATTTCCTGTTAAGTATTTTTTTTTTAGAGTTCACCATTTTATGAGGAATCTTCTCTGCATAGGCATCAAACTAAGTCTTCTTTATGGTTCTGATTGCTCTAAACTGATGCTAACATTACTTTTATTAGGCTGAAACGGTTCTCTTACTAAATATATCCATATTTGCTTAAACTTTCATGAAACTTTGTCATATTTGGGGCAAAAATTAATTTGTATGACAATCACCATGGTGATATCTAGAGATGAGCGGTTTATAGTTTGGCGACTCCATTGGGATGAGGGTTTTCCAGCACATGGTGGAAGTCTAGCAGATGTTGGCCACAATCAATGAATTTCAGAGTGAAGAGATTTGTTCCGAATCATCTCATGTTGCAGTTTTCTGGATTTAGGACACGGCAAATAAAGCCACCACAACCTTTTTGTGCTTGAAAGCAGGTTATTGTTGTAATAAATAGATTCACATCTATAATAGTGTTTTCTGCCAAGGTGGACCTATACTTAAAGATTTATTTGCCCAACAGAGATTAGTAATATGACAAAGCAAAACAGTAAAAAAGGGATCTTTAGTTTTTTAATTCAGATTAGAGCAGCAGAGCACTTTGACAGTTCCTAGGCTCTTTCTGCTTCACAGTAACCAATCAGGACTTTTATAGGCATATCCTGTCCACTCTAACCTATTACTGGATTACATTAGAACTTCTGAGGCAAAATTCAGGAACATAAAGACTGGAATACTGTGCAATGGAGGACAACATAGGTCTAGGAAGAGCAGTAGCTGTGGAATACTGTCAATGCTAAATCATTCACCACTGACATGTCTCACACCTTATGATGGATCAGGAGGTCGAAGAAGAAAGTCCACTTCTAGGGGCACCATTCCTTATCAATTGAGGTCATCAACTTTACCAACTTGTTAATTTGATCTACTGACACCTAAGTTGGCTATCTATCATACCTGGTGTGTCTGCTTCACCTCTGCTTAACTGTGTCTGATCTTCCACCAGCCTTTGTGCTCCTGGAGCCTAGGTTCAGTCATGGCCTTTAGCTCTCCTGTCTCTGTCCCTTTTTTTTTGTCTTTTCCAGGAAGTTCTATGATGTGATTTCCAGATTCTTCCGTCTAACTTTCTTCCAGTCTGGTCATCCTTCTGTTCTTTGGCTTGTTGTATCCTGCAGGTCTGGCACCATCCTCTGTATCCCTCTGCCTGGTGTATTAGCCTCTCTACCATTTTCCCCTATATCACTGCCTATACGTTTCCTTGGCGTTAACTTGGTATTAACCTGTATGACATTGACGTAAACCCAATTTGTTGGTGACTTTAGTTTCCAACTTATGAGTTTCTAGGAACAAGGGCAAACCACTTATATCACATGTCTTATTATCATCATTATTAACTCTTGTATTAGTGATCTGGTAGCAACTATCCTGAATCGCATCCACCCATCCCTGCTACCCATTTCGAACTGCAGCCTTTCTAGACAGTATTTTGGTATGACAATAAATTTGTTGTATTCCCATCCTATTGTGAGTGATGTGTGTGCTGGTCCTGGTTTGTAAATTCTCCAAAGTCCACAGATTGGAGAAGAGACAAGAGGAAACAAAGGAGATTTACTGGTCTGTTAATGAATAGAGCTTCTCTCAGAAATAGATGTGAATAATGCTGGTGTTTAGGATCTGCAGATTTCCCCACAGCCGGAGCTTTAGAAACTGCCAGAGCTCCACTTTTATCAGCGTAATGTTGATTTTAATTAAAGTGTGCGATTTCAGATATTGTTAAATGGAGTGTGCTGAGTGAACACACAGTAATGTACCAACTACCTCTGAGACTGCTTCACATTCATAAGCCATTAGTCAGAAACCATTAAATAACAATTGGCTCCATTCAGTGCTGAGCTCGGCCCTTCCCGGTGTTAAATGGGAGATTATATATCACTGATTAATTCCAATTATAACAGCGCTAGCTTCACGATTCCACTACACACCACCTTTAGATTGATTATTTATACTATGTGTGTATACATATATATATATATATATATCATAGTACACATTGCATACACATTTTATATAGAAAGAAATTAAAATAAAATGAATGGTTCATTAAAGCAAATAAAATAAGTATTTGCATTTTATTGTATTCTCTAATCAGTTCAACGTGAAAGGTGTTTTTGTGAGAATTTACACACAGATATTACAGTGCCAGAGGGGTAACTAAGAACTTACCAGAGGGTGAAAGGGGTTGAGGTGGTGTAGGTTGTTGTGGGGGAGGAGTTGGGGCTGTTCAGTATGTTGACAGTGGTAGCTTTTGGTGGAAAGGGGTGGGATATTGGTATTGAACAGGTGTTTGGTGGGGTTGGGATGTAAAGAGTAGGAGGTGGTTAAGTGAAAGAAAATTACTAAGGGTAAGAGAGGGTTTGGTGGGGATGAGAGGGGGATCAGTGGGGGCAGGATGCTAGGGGCAGGGGGAGGTTAGGTGAGAGTGAGATCTTGGTTTTAGGAGATTAGGTTGGGATAGGATCAGATGACAAAAAATGTATATATTTTACTTACATTGGGTTCTTCTATTGTAGAGCTAACAAGGACATGAATTATATAACCCCAATACCAAAAATAAATGGGACGTTGTGTAAAATCTACATAAAAACAGGATGCAATGATTTGCAAATGTCATAAACCCAAATTTTATTCACAGTAGTAAATAGAAAACATATCAAATGTTTAAACTGAAAAAAGGTACCATTTTGTGAAAAAACATACTGTAAAGTAATTTTGAAATTGATGGCAGCAACACATCTCAAAAAAGTTGGGACACGTTCATGTATCATCTGCTGTAGCATCCCCACTATTTTTAACAACACTCTGTAAACATCTGGAAACTGAGGAGACCAGTTGCTAGGGTTTTGGGAGAGGAATGTTGTCTCATTCTTGCCTGATATATGATTCTAACTTCTCAACAATCCTGGGTCTTCTTAGTCATATTCTTTGTTTCAAGATGCACCAAATATTTTCAATTGATGAAAGGCTTGGATTGCAGGCAGGCCAGTTAAGCAGCGGACTCTTCTACTATGAAGCCATGTCATAGGTGCAGTATGCGGTTTAGCATTGTCCTATTGAAATATGCAAGGCCTTCCCTGCAAAAGACATTGGGATTGATTTACTAAAGGCAAATAGACTGTGCACTCTGCAGGTGCAGTTGCTCTAGAGCAGTGGTCTTCAAACTGCGAATGCGACCCTTTGCTTTCCTCTATCCGGCCCTCGGGGTACTATTCCTCCCACTGACACCAACAAGGAGGCACCATTTCTTCACTGACACCAACTATGGGGCATTTTTCCTTCCACTGACACCAATGATGGGGCAAAATTCCTACCACTGACACAAATGATGGGGCACTATTACCCCACTAACACCAATGATGGGGTACTGTTCCTCTCACTGTCACCAATGATGGGGCACTATTCCTCCCACTGACACCAATTATGGGGGACTATTCCTCCCACTGACATCAATGATGGGGCACTATTCCTCCCTCTGACACCAATGATGGGGCACTATTCCTCCCTCTGACACCAATGATGGGGCACTATTCCTCCCACTGACACCAATTATGGGGGACTATTCCTCTCACTGACATCAATGATGGGGCACTATTCCTCCCACTAATACCAATGATGGGGCACTATTCCTCCTAGTAATACCAATGATGGGGCACTATTCATCCCACTGACACCAATGATAGGGCACTATTTCTTCCACTAATACCAATGAATGGACACTATTCCTCTGTGCACTGACTTACAAGCACTTTGTAATTTTTTTACTCCTACTGACTGGGAAATTCTCTGCTTCCACTGGGCACTTCCGGCCCTTTCTGAATTCTGAATTCTAAATTCTGAAGGACAGTAAACCGGCCCTTTGTTTAGAAACTTTGGCAACCCCTGCTCCACTGCTCCAGAGCTTAGTAAATTAGGCAAAGCTTCACTTTGCAAAGAATACCCAATCACATGCAAGGAAAATAAAAAAAAACAGCATTTTTGCTTGCACATGATTGGATGATGGAAGTCAGCAGAGCTTCATCTCAATTACGAAGCTCTGGAGCAACTGCACTTGCAGAGTGCACAGTCTGTTTGCCTTTAGTAAATCCACCCCATTGCCTGAATGTGAGCATGCTGCTCTAAAACCTGGATATTTATTTCAGCTTTCCAGATGTGCAAGTGGCCTATTCTATTCGCACTAATGGACCCCCAGTGGCATCCCGAGGCAGGTGCGGAGGGTGCACGCCGCACTGGGTGACACCTACCGCAGAGGGTGACACCGGACCCGCTCCACGAAAAGGTAAATTGTAAAGCAAGTCGACGATCCCCACAGGATGGATCCAATCCATCCTGCAGGAATCATCTGCTTTCTTTACAACTTACCTTTTCATGGAGCGGGTCCGGTGTCACCCCGTATAGGTTGCATGCTGACGATCCCCGCAGGATGGATCGGTTCTGCGGATTGGGGAGCATAATGGATCAGACTCCGATCCATTATGCTCAAACTGCAGATCTGATCCATTCTCCGGGGATCGTTGGAGTCACCAAGTGTTATCGCACCGGGTGACACCAACCCTAGGGACGCCCCTGTGCACCCCCATACCATCAGAGATGCAGGCTTTTGAACTGAGCACTGATAATAAGCCAGAAGGTCCCTCTCCTCTTTAGTCTGGAGGATGTGGTGCCCATGGTTGCCAAAAAGAATGTCAAATTTTGATTCGTCTGACCACAGAACAGTTTTCCACTTTGCAACAGACCATTTTAAATGGGCTTTGGCCCAGAGAAGGTGAACTGTGTTCACAGACAGTGATTTTTGGAAGTATTCTTGAACCCATGCAGTGATGTCCATCACAGAATCATGCCTATTTTAATGCAGTGCTTTCTGAGGGCCCAAAGATCACAGCAATCTAATTGCATTTAAGCCTTGTCCCTTGCACACAGAGATTTCTTCACATTCTCTGAATCATTTGATAGTATGTACTATAGATGAAGATATTTTTAATGTCTTTTCAATTTTACGTTGAGGAACATTATTCTGAAACTGTTCAACAATTTTAGACCCAGCTTTTCAAGGATTGGTGAACCTCTGTTTACCTTTACTTCTAAGACACTTTGACTCTCTGAGATGCTTTTTTAATATCATCTTACTAACCTGTTGACAATTAACCTAATTAGTTGCAAAATGTTCTTCCAGCTCTTTCTTGTTAGTAGCACTTACTTCGCCAGCATTTTGTTACACTGTTCCAACTTTTTTGAGACGTGTTGCTGCCACCAATTTCAAAATTACTTTATTTTTTTCATAAAATGGTAAGTTTTCTCAGTTTGAACTATTGATATGTTTTCTATTTTCTATTGTGAATAAAATATGGGCTTATGAGATTTGCAAATCATTGCATTCTGTTTTTATGAAGATTTTACAGGGTGCCCCAATTTGTGTTGTAATTGGGGTTGTACTGTGACATACATGATACAGACATGGGGCACTGCTACAGATCACATTACAGTGAGGATTTATGTTATTCATACATGGGGTCCTTCTATTAATCAGATGAGACAGGGATGCATATTATACATACATGGGGCATATATTTTACACATACGATGTTCTTCTATAGATCAAATGACAGTGAGGACTTACATTATACATACTTGGGGTTCTTCTATAGATCAGATGAGAGTGAGGACATACAGTATATTACACATACATAGGATGTAAATAATACCTAAATGGGGTTGTTCTATAAATCAAACGACAGCGAGGACCTACAGTATATTATACATACGTAGGATGTACATAATACCTAAAGGGGGTCCGTCTATAGTTCAGATGACATTGAGGATGTGTATTATACATATATTGGGTCTTTTTATGGATCAGATGATAGCAAAGATGTCTATTATACATACAGGGGGCCATGTACAGTATAGATCAGATGACAGCGAGGACAAATGTTATACATAGATAGTATGTACATTATACATGCTGTACATGAGGTCCTTTTATGGATCAGATGACAGCAAGATATAGAACAGTGGGGACATATATTATACATAGGAAGTCCTTTTATAGATCAGAAAATAGTAAGGACATTCATTATACATACATGACATTATTCTATAGATCAGATGACAGCAAGGATGCATATTACACATACATACGATGTATCTTATACATATATGGTGTCCTTCTTTAGATCAGATGACAGTGAAGTGATTGTTGCCTTGTTCTTTCTCAAACATCTAATCATAGAATAACACAGTGGGATCTCACTGAGACTAATACACCATAACATGGCGGAGCTGCAAGGTGCACAGTGTCTTTGGCTGGGATGTGCACACCATTTTACAACCTGCTCCTTGTTGGGGGAAGTATTTATTGTGACCCCGGAGAGACGTGAACTGTATGCTGAAGATTCACACATTTCACACATTCTCAGTAATTGCTTTATGGCACCCTGTGTGGTCATTATACCTGACCTTGTAACTCTGCTTATTCAGTTAGACAGTATAATGGGAGATGTGTGATTGCACAAAGCTGAGAATTCAGTTACGTCCGGAGTTCTGTGCTCTTTGATTTCGCTTTAAGCTCTCCCTGAGCAATTATAAAACAATTAATCTTTCCCGCTAAGAATTAAAATGGAAAGTTCCAATTGTTTACATCCTCCCCCTCTCTACTGCCACATTTGGCACTTTTTTTGGGGGGGAGCGGATATCTGGTTTTGACAAGTGTCTGATCCCACTTGTCAGATGCGCCGTGGACAACTGAGCTGGAAGTTCACCCCTCCCTTCCTTCCCCTGCAGCCTTCTGGGACACTACACAGTTTCCAGAAGACTGTGGGATTATTCACAAAGCGCAGCAAGCTTTGCGCATGAGCAGTATGATACCAGCTGTGAAGCCACAAGGCTTCACTGCCAGTTTCCCTTACTGAAGATGCACCTGCACCCGAAGCCAACTGAAGAATCGGCTCAGGTGAGGACATTGCTGGATCCCTGGACAGGTAAGTGTCCTTATTTAAAACGTCAGCAGCAACAGTATTTGTAGCTGCTGACTTTTAATTTCTTTGGGGGAATCTGGAGCTCCACCTGCTTATTTTCTGCTGCACGGCAGATTTCTTCTGAATGCCTCAGACAGCATCCTGTTACTTCTGGCACTCATTCTCTCACCTTCCAAGTACCTGTAGGTTAGAGGAGATGAGGGAGGCATGATCAATGATCTTAGTGGTCCAATTATGGGTGGAGCCTGAAGAGCAGAGCCAAATATTGGCTTCTGTTTTGGGGGTTCTCATCGCTGAGATCTACCTTTTGCGATTTCTGCTTAAAGGAAATGCTTCATAAAGGGCACAGCATGTGTTCACGCCCCAGGGCATAGTGTAGGGATAGTGGGAACCCCTCATAATGAGTATAGCAGGTGTGATGCCCTGGTTACTAAGCACAGGGATGGTTAGGAGTCTTTCATAATGGGCAAAGCAGGTGTGCAGGCCTGGGAACTGTACAGGGATGGTGGGAACCCCTCATAAAGGGCACTGCAGGTGTTCACACCCAGGACATAGTGTAGGGATAGTGGGAACCCCTCATAATGAGTATAGCAGGGGTGATATCCTGGTTACTAAGCACAGGGATGGTTAGGAGTCTTTCATAATGGGCAAAGCAGGTGTGCAGGCCTGGGAACTGCACAGGGATGGTGGAAACCCCTCATTAAGGGCACAGCAGGTGTTCACACCCAGGGCATAGTGTAGGGATAGTGGGAACCCCTGATAATGAGTATAGCAGGTGTGAAGACCTGGTTATTAAGCACAGGGATGGTTAGGAGTCTTTCATAATGGGCAAAGCAGGTGTGCAGGCATGGGAACTGCACAGGGATGATTGGAACCCCTCATAAAGGGCACAGCAGGTGTTCACGCCCAAGGGCATTTTGTAGGGATAGTGGGAACCCCTCATAATGAGTATAGCAGGTGTGAAGACCTTGTTACTAAGCACAGGGATGGTTAGGAGTCTTTCATAATGGGCACAACAGGTGTACAGACCTGGAAACTAAGCTCAGGAATGGTGAGAACCCCTCCTAATGGGCACAGTAGGTGTTCAGACCCAGGAGGTCAGAGCAGGAATGGTAAGAACCCCTCAAAATGGACACAACAGGTGTATAGAACTGTGAACTTAGCACAATGATGACAGAATGCCCTCATAATGGACACAACAACTGTATAGACGTGGAAACATTTTTTACACATATATTTAAGTATTCTCCCTCAGTGGGGTCGTCTATCTGCACGGTCAAGTCACCTATAGGTACATTGAACTTTCAGCTAAGACAGCTAAAGCTGTATGGTACAACTCTGGAACTGCTGAAATAGATATCACATAAATACTGTCCTGCTTGGTTTCCATATATATCACCAAGAGGTTGAGAATTTAAATAGGCCTCTGTTGGAAGACTGCAGAACTACTCCAGCTGATACAACACAAGCAGTGATCCTCACTGACCGCACCAGAGTCCCGGAATCAACATCTTCACCGTTACACTAATCAGATAAGTGGTGGCACTTATTACTGTGAACACGACTGCGAGTGATGGATGAGAGGCGCAAAGGCACAGCCAAATGGAGCGCTTAGATTAAAACATACATATTAAAATTCATCGCCGATGTCACCCATGTACCGGCATGGCGCGGCGAACACT